CAGGGCCACCACCGCAGCCTCCTCGGGCCAGGGCAGGAGAGGGGAGGCCGGTCTGTCCCTTACCTTGCAGTGTCAGCACCATTCGTCATCAAAGTACTAATTAGCAGCTCGTGGCCGTATCTAGCAGCAACGTGGAGGGGGGTATTGCCGTATTTGTCAGCGCAGTCAATCTCGCTGCCTGGAAGGGAAGAGCCGAGAGCCGTCACAGCGAGCGGCTGCGGCGCCCGCCCAGGGACCCCCGGGGACGCGGCCACGGCTGCCGACCCCGCAGGATAAACCACCCCTTGCACCCCGCAAAGCCCGGGCCTTCGGTGTCCCCCGTGCCCCAGGAGGGGACGCTTTCAGCCCACCCCGGGTGTCTGCCAAGCTGCAGCCCTTGCACAGCGTTGCTTTGCAGGCTGGACTTGGGAACGTCCTTTGGGTGCAGCAGCTCTGGCCTGGCTGGAATCTCAGTCCCTGGAGCTGCACTTTGCTGCCCTTGAGGGCACACAAGTTCCTGCCACCCCGAGCAGTGCAGGGCATGGAAACGCAGCAGTGGGGCAGGGAAACGCGGGAGCACGGAGGGATTGGAGTGGGAATCACGGAGCTCAAACCCTCCTGAGCACGCAGGGGAGCAGCCGGGGGAGGACGCAGCCGCTCACCGTTCTGAATGAGGATCTGCGACCGCGTGAACCGTCCGTGAATGGCAGCCATGTGCAGGGGGCTCTTCCCTTCCTTGCTCTGTGAGGAGCACAAGTGGCCGTGTCACGTTCCCTCCTGCTCCCTCCAAGCTCCTCCCCAGCCCCAAGCCCTCAGGGCCAGACCTGAAAGTTGACGTCGGCGCCGTTGTTCACCAGGAGCTCGAGGCACAGGGCCCCGTTGGTGGAGACGGCAGCAAAGTGCAGCGGGGTGAAGCCCTTCTCGTTCGGCTGATTGACGTTGGCGCCGTAGTTCACCAGCTCGTTGGCCACGGCGTCTTGGCCCATGTAACAGGCGATGTGAAGTGCAGTGTTCCCGAAGGAATTTGGTTCATCGATCTGCGGGAGCAACGCAAACCCCGCGGGATTTGGGGACTCAGGAAGGAGAAGCGGCCGGAGGCTCCGGTCGCAGCCTCTCCTGCTCCATCCGGATGGGCCCGCACCCCGAGCCCACCCTGGTTTTGGGGGGGGGGGGCCGCACCCGC